ACACCCATCATGATTCTAACAATTTTCTTATGCAATGTAAATACCTTTTTACTGTCAGATGAATTACCCCAGAAAATTATTCCATACTTCATTAAAAAGTGAAAGTATGCAAAATAGATTGATTTGAGAGTGTCAATGTTACTAATATGTAACATGAATCTAACTGCATTACATGCTCTTCTTAGATTTGGAATCAACTGATCGATACGGTTTTTCCAGTTCAAATGATTATCAATTTGCAAGCCGAGGAATTTTGTGTTTACTCCCTCTTCTATATAGTTATCACTATATCCTATGTTTAATGGATTGTGGTGCGTTTTTTGTTATAAATTTTATTACATTTGTCTTCTCTAGGTTGAGGGACAGCTTGTTTGCAGAAAACCATTTACTCATTTGCGAAAGAACCTTGCTTGATAACATGCAGAAATCATCTAAATTTTTACCAGAAATTAATTATAACACTAGTGTCATCTGCAAATATTATAGGTATTGATGAGGTCATTAGTGTAGGAGGGAAGTCGTTTATATTAATTATGAAAAGCAAAGGCCCCAAAATTTACCCCTGTGGAACTCCATGTTTTATTATTCCCCAGTTTGAGTAGGTACTTTGGATTAAATTTTATGAATTTATTTCAATCTTTTGTTTTCTGTCAGGTAGGATCTGAACCAACTTAACGTTGTTCCTTGAATGCCAAAAATATGTAATTTAGTTAATAAAATTTCATGATTTACACAGTCAAAAGCCTTTGCCAAGTCACAGAATATTCCACCAACATGCATTTTTTATTAATATACAGGGTGTTTCACGACTTTAGGGCATAACTGCAGGAGGTGATTTCCTGTGTCTTTGTGATCAAAAAAGTTCATATAAACATGTGTCCGATTTTGGACGGTTACAGAGTTATGACCATTTTAAACTCAGAATAGGTGACGATTACTGATAATAAACGGAACAAAATAATAAACCATCATAATACATGATACATTTAAAGTATGAATGTAAAGTTAACTTCGTGAAATTATCTTTAATTTGAATTTATTGGTGCTTAAAGTTGATTTTCGAAAATGCCACTGCCGGCCGCAACACACGCTGCTGCTCAGTTGTGAACTTTGCCGGACATACCAACCCACCCCGCCTTAGGTAGCTCTCAAGTGTCGAGATAACGAGAACGCTCTGTCTGTAGCTGGCTAAAAATAGCGACCAGCCAGCTGACAGACGCGATTCACATGAGGGCATGTACAGGAATGAAAAAACGGTCTAACTCCATAACCGTCCAAAATCGGACTCATGTTTATATAAACTTTTTCCATCAGAAAGACCTAGGAAATCACCTCCTACAGTTATGCCCTAAAGTCGTGAAACACACTGTCTGTTAACTTAAAGGCTGCATTTTCAATAGAAATTCCTTTCCTAAAGCCAAAATGTTCTGGGACTAGTATATTGTTACTCTGAAAATAATGGCTTAACGTGTTGTGCATAACTTTTTCAAGTACTTTAGAGAAAGTAGTTAGTAAAATTGGCCTGTAGTTTGACATACTAGTCTTGTCCCCTTTTCTATATAGTGGTCTTACTACTGAAATCTTACTGACGATCAGGAAAGATTCCTGTGGATAGTGAGTGTTTACAGATGTGAGTTAATGGGCTACTGATTAGAGATGCAGAAGCTTTTAAACTTCTGCTTGTTATTCGATCATAACCTGAAGAGTTTTTTGTTTTGAGGGAATGTATTATACTTTTTATTTCAGTTTCAGTGGTTGGAATGGTTTTAATACCAGAGAATTTTCTAGGAAATACCTCTCTTAAAAATGAAATGACATTATCTTCCACTTCCTGATGCAAGTTTAGATTTTCTGTAATTGTTAGAAAAAAAGTATTGAAGGCATTTGCAATTTCTCCTGGGTCCTCAACTCTCTCATCATTTATAAGGAGAGATGATATCTGTTCAGTCAGATGTGATTTTCTTGTTTCATGTTTTATTATATACCAGGTTGTTTTTATCTGATTATTCGATTTTGCTATAAGCCTACAGTAATGCTGCCTTTTAGCCTCTTTTATAACTCTACTCAGGATTTTGCAATACCTTATGTAGTATGCTCTCATGTAGGGATTATTACTGTTCCTGCTGTCTACATACAGACACCTTTTATGTTTAAAAGATATTTTTGTTCCTTGTGTAATCCAGTGGTTTTTTATTCTACTTACACTTTTATTGTGCATAGGAAAACTGGCTTCAAAGATATTTAGAAAAATATATAAAAAAGAATTAAACTTATTGTATCCTTATTTTTGAAAACAGATTCTGACGTTACATTTTCTAATAGATGTTGAAATTGAGCAATCGTTTCACTATTTATTTTTCTGGTTCTCTGTTTCAAGGATGTTGAATTTGCTTCTGCAATAATATTATTTACTGTAAGAAATTGATCATCATGGTCAGAGAGGCCATTGACTGTATGAGATGTACAAGAAGAGCTTAATCTTGCATTATCTATAAAGATATTAATGGCTGGGCTTGAGGAATTTTGAACTCTTGTTGCAAAATTCACTGTGTGTGACAGATTGTATGTCCTTATTAAATAGTTTACTTGTTCTTTCTGGCTGCTTTCATTTAAATATTTTATGTTTATGTCTCCACAGATTATAAACTCAGTCTTTGGATTGCAAAGATATTTTAAAGTTGCATATAGTCTCCTTAGAAATTCATTAACCTCTCCTGAAGGGGCTCTGTACAGGCTTAATATAATTAGGTGAGATGTTTTAGTTACTAGCTGTATTGCAC